CTCCTGGACTAAAGTGCCCTCTGTTCAAATACAGGCATATGGATTTTTGTAGCCGACATCACCCCCATATCCTGTGTAGCGCAGCCAGAAGAAACAGACACTCAGACAAGATGGACAGTCTATTCCATAGAAGTGACTCATAAGCACGCTCACAGATTGCCCTCAGACATGAAGGGTTTCAGCATCTAATGGGATTAGGCCTCTTTCATCTCTCCTTCCTCACCCCACTGACCCAAACAGCAAATTCCCACCAGCTTCAAAAGGGGAGAACTTGATCAGTAGCCAGTAAGTTACAACTATTGCAGCTTTTGTTTCTATGTTGTGTAAAGGCTTTTTTTTTTTTTTAAGATGGAAGACTGGTAACAAAGGCTCCTATTATATTGTGAAATACCAGTCTTAGGCAGGAATTAAATGAATAACAAAATCACAAGCCCAGATCAAACAGTCACAACAAAGGGTAAGCAAAACACATAAATGTCATGATCAATCCTCTTATTCCAAGCATATGCTTTGTAAAGCATGATAAATACTGTTTAACTTCTCTCCAAATCCTCAAGCAAACAAAAACATCCAAGCAGCATCTGTCATTTATTCATATTGACCAAGAAAATCAGAGAACCTTAGCCAGTATGCTGGAAAATGAAGCTCAAAGCAAGTGATAAAACCAAAATTCACAGACATCGATAGCCTCAGCTGACCTCCTGGACCTACCAGGAGATATCAACATCCCTTTTTGCCTTGAGCTCTGTTTGAGGCTCAGCACTTTATTCTCCACTTAAGGGTTTTGAATGAACTATATATAACTTGAATGTGATTGGGCGGGGAGTTGATTTTTTTAAACCCCACAAGAGTGAGCAGTTAATTTTATAAGTAGTCCCTGGGAAAACATGCAATTAAAAATACAATATAACACAGACAACTTCCACCACTGAATGCCAGTTCAGCTGCTAGCAGGCAAACAGCTAACAAAGAAAGTATCAGGGTTTCAGATCACAACACCCGGGAGAGCTGCTATAACTACATACTTGAAGTTCTTCATTTTAATAGACAGCAATGTTATAAGCATGTTTCACAGGAAGAAGTCTTCCCTATATGCAAAGACTCCAAATCAAGACTATATTATGTGCAATTTTGCACAATTACGTTCATTATACATATATTACTTTATTAAACAAAGCCATAGGTTTAATCTCACTTTGAAAACAATCCTCCTCCTATCTTACAAGGATTTTTGGGGGGGAAATAGTATGTTTTTATAATCCCTGTGCTCTCTCCATCAGTATCTGCCTCATAGATGGCCATAAGGACCTCCAAGTGTTGAGGGCCAGCAGGAACCAAGCCATCTGCACAGGCAGACAAAAGATGATCACCCTCACACAAGCAGAAGCAGGGAACAATCAACCAGTCCATTTAAAATGAGCCATTAGAAAGAAGCAGTATCCAGAATACTTGTTAAAATCTAGAACTAGTCTATGAGAAGCAGTAATTCCCCCCAAAAAAATAAGTGAAGTACCTCGGGCTGAAGTACTAGTCATGGGGCATGAATAATTGTAACCCATTATTGAAAATAACCCAGAGACACAGCTGAAATAAGCCTCAACATAAAGAACAAAAGCAAAACAATAAAACAAAGAGATAAATATAGGAACAGGCCATTGAAGAAAATGTTTCTCTAAGTGTCCAGCTGATCTTTAAAATTTAATCACAATTCACCAGTCAATGCTTCCTTACATGTTTTATCAAGAGACACTTCCCTGTAAAGCCCTCTAGTACATACTGGTCATGTATTGGCAGGGGCCACTTAAATCAATTAGTCATTAGTACCTAGTGTGCATCCAGCTTAATGAAATAGTCTTTTCATCCATTATCATAGATCAGAAACAATCCCTGCAGAGTAAACGATGCAGTATCTTAAAAGTCATGCTGTGTTAATAATTGAGAACAGGGTTATAGAGATCATTTTAGAGCTTTACATAATTTTCAGTTTAACAATAAAAATCTACATGTGGCTTACTAGGACAAGTTTGTTTGGTTAACTCCCGGGTATTAATGAGCTTACATTCATTTTATGGGACTGAAGTCTGTTTAAAGTTTTTAGAAAGCTACCCAAGGTCATAACTGGTTAGGAAGGTTACCAGCTTTCTTAACAGACTGAACAGACTACAAAACCAGTGCAAGACTGTGACCAGTACCCCCTGCTCCTGACCCCTTATGTGTATTTTATTTTTTTCGTCCAGCTAAGTTGACAGGGAACAGCTCTGTTAACTACAAAAACAAGCAGCTACAAGAACAAGGGTGGGAGGGATAGAGTTATACCATACAGATAATACTAGCAAATCCAGAACCAGGTTAAATAAGGGAGCTCAGGAACCAAGCCTAGAGCCCGAAGTTACTCTATATGCAAAGCATTAGTTGGGCTAGGCAGTACAGAACAGCAATCCCAAACATTCATCTTGCAAAACAGGGCAAAGCCAGCAGCTAACTGATTCAAAGCACAAATATACTCACCTTCTCCAAAGCTTAGCTGCTCAAATCATTGCTGTAAACAGAAAGCATCAGCTATTCAGAAACAGACGCTATAGCCTTCTTCTCCTGATGGTGGGTGCTTTCACAAATCGATTAAAATAACTGAGGCGGCTTCATTTTCACAAGCACTGGTGGGATCAAAATCACCCACTTAATATATTCACCAACTTAACTACAGGAGTACTGACCTAGAAAAGAGAGCGAGCTTTGATGCCTTCTGCATCCCTGGTTCCATCAGTGCTGACAGAGCAGATGTATCTTACTCTAAACTCTTTTGAAGCAAGAAAAGTGGAAGAGGTCAAGTATTATCTTATATACCATCTTCTTTTGAATGCCTTTAAAAAGCTCACAGATTTACCATGTACATAAGAGATAAGTGATGGTAATTTACCTGCATATTTGAATACGACCTCTACAAAATGCATGATGTAACAGTAATCCCACCTATTGCAATTAGATCATGGCTTCTGAAATTTGTTCCCCCGTTTTGATCTCATCAGCACTGATTAACCTTCCTGATGACCAAGAAGCCAAGTACCAAAGCCTCTGCAGAGCCAAGAACCACAAGCACTTACTATATATCTCCAGAAAAAGATGTGAAGGAGCTCTGGAAGAAAGAACACCTGGCAAAATAGTCCCCAAGGGTTCCAATACCAAGAATGCACTTGAAGACCCCATTTCACTACAAAGCAATTAAGAAATAAACACCAGTACAAGAGACACTTGAACTGCTCATTAACCTCCTACTGTGGCCATGCCTGACAGCTACACCACCATTATGAAAGCACCACTGGATATGTTGTTTCTCTTTTCTTTCCTCTCACACAGGAGTCTGTTGTCACCTCTTGAAATTTAAGACAGACAAATACTTAAGCATCAGATATGTTTATTAGACAATTCAAAAAGTCAGTTTTATTAGACAATTCAAAAATAAAAGTAGGATATGTTTTAATTTCCATGTTTTAATACTTCATCCTCTCAAGAACCTGGCAATCACAGAAAATAAAAATAGTGTTTACAAAAGTTACAAAAACTGCACTGCATTCCGAATTACAGAAAACATGATTAGTTGACAAGGAAGCTTTATAAAACACAGTAACAGGTTTTCACCTGATTATGAGACATAGTGATATCGCCATGTATATGCATTCACAAAATCAGCATAGTATCGAAATTAAGGCACTTTGGATACACAGTATTCACTTCCATATAGGAAAACAATTTCAGAGAAACCACAGTGAATTGCTACTGGTAGATAGTGACAGTATGCCCAGTACTGGCCATCAAAGCACCAGGTGTGTGTGAATGAGTGAAGCTCTTGATAAAAAAGCACTGAATTTTTTTTTTTTTTTACCCTATTTGATATCGAAGACTCATTCAAGCAAATTTACTTTTAAAGAGGTCAAGGAAGATTTCCATTATTTAAACACTGTTAAACACAATTTTTGAAGTTAAACGATTTAAAATAAAAGTCCATGGTGAAAACTGCATGAAGTTCACATTAAGGATTAGTGCATGTAGCTGCTTCAAAAGAAAAAAAAAAAGCATTGACTTTCTCCATCGACATTCACTTGCCATTTCATGAGGTACCCACCAGCCACAGTAATATCAGAGGAAATACAGTACAACAGAATAATACATCAAAGAAGCAACCTCTCTTCAAGACTGTACTTTCTGGTCCTCCTTTTCATTTTAGATTGTCATACGTTTACTGTTTGTTCTCTAATTTCTCTAAATTCTCTAATTGAAAGAAAAATTAATCTCAGTTGTTTTTCACACCACTGTCTTGAAAGCAAAATTTCATCAGTAATTGAGTAGTTTTGTAGACTTGTATTGCAGCCTTTGGTACATAAATTCTAAGGAGTAAAAATACTCAAGAACCTAACCCTGCAAGCACACGAGTACTTTAACAGGAGTTAAATAGAATCGCTAGCAATGACTTTAGGCATTTACAGGATCAGGCACTTAAACTGTGTATTATTGTTGCTGTTTTACTTCACCAATTTGAATGAAAAATGCCATGGTATAGGAAAAAAGCAACTTCTCAAAAAAATCAAAGCAGGACTTATACATGGAAACTATGATTACTCTAAACAATCTGGCTCATAATTAGAACAAATAATTTCCCCGGTAGTACTTTACAAATCAGTACGGTCCAACAGATTTCACCTAAGTCGGGAAGAAGACGCTGTAAGAGAACTTATTTATGCACAGCATCTTTACAAGTATATTCCTGCTATGTCTTTGATGAAGCATTAATATCTAGAAAAAACTGCCATTTAATGTTAATTCTTCTTTTACACAAATGACAGCCTAGACACACTTCAGTATAAAATACAGCTACCCAGCATTCCTCAGTACTGAACTGTTCACCTTACACACATCTGAAGTTTAAATTTAAAACATGTAATTAATCTTCCTGA